ACACACACACACACACACACACACACACACACACACACACACACACACGTCTGCACATAGGAGCACCTAGGAAATGCAATGGAAAGGTACGCAGTGAATGAAGATATGTGAAAGACAAACAGTGTCAACAGATAAAAAGGAAGCAGTTGAGTCATTTTTGGGGGATTGTGCAAGGACACGTTTTTTCCTGGCATCGCACGATCACTCGTCCTATTTTGAAATCTTTTGTTTATTAAATTCCACTGCGTTGCCGTCTTTGTCTCACACTGAAGTCAAGTACTAACTGAACACTAAAAGCTGACGTGACAATTAAAAATTTAATTCAGAAACATGCCTCGGAGGTGAAATTCTTTTCCAGGCTAAATGAATGTGTTTGCAAAATCACTTCAAAGTACATGTCATCAACGAGTGTGTGCATGTGTGTGTGTGTTCTCACCCCTCCTCGATGGTAACCCCGTGCATGATGATAGAGTTGGTGACTTTGACCTTCTCTTTTACCGTGGTGGAGTTTCCGATGGTGGACCTCTTTATGGAAGTCTTATCTGCTACCTGGCACAGTGCTCCGATGATGCTGTCTGATCCCATCTGTTGGCCGAGCACAGACGGTAACATGACTCACACATAAATGCATTCACAGGCCTCTCCAGTGGAAGTGCAGATTAGACTAGATCAAATTAGATGATAGCGAGTGAGCTGTGATATAGGGCAATTAGTAAAACTGCTAATTAAGAGGGAAATGTAAGAAAACAGAAATATAAATAAGAGTTTCGAACTGTCTTCTTCTACATTACACTTACCTGACATCTCTCAGAAATGACAGCAGATGGGTGGACTGCTGGCTCCTCAAACAGCTTTGGGGCCTAGTTGGGAGGAGGCAGAAGAGAGGGAGAATATGAGATTTAAATAATATAAAGATGATAAGATAACTTTAATGATCAATCTGGAGGAATTGGGTCATAAGGCCAAGTACACAGGACTCAAACAAGCATGCAATTCTGCATTAGAAGTGGCAAAATAGAAGCAGAATTATGAGCAATGAAAATGGAAAATGAAAACCACGACATCCACAAGAATGAGAATGAAAGGCTGGAACCAGAGAATGCTGGGTATTTGTTGCTTGACTAATCGACTAATCTTTGCCATCTTAATACTTTATGTAATCAAATTAAAGCCATATATATACACATGTACACATCTAGGCACATACAACTGTAATTCCCTCCAGTCTTACTCAAATGCACATGCAGTTTCTACAGAACATGCACACTTTACAAAACTGCGTGTTTAGCAAAAAAGGAGCAGGTTTATGTCCGACTCACCAGCCGGTTTGCTTCTATGTAAGCAGCTAAAGTGTTGACGCGGTAGCAAAGGCCCTGGTCAATGATGTGAACGTAGCAGCGGAGCTTTCCTCCGTGGTAAGCCTCGCTCATGTCCCCGCGGTGGTCGTTCCAACAGGAGCGCTCCTGGGCCAGCTGGAGGAGAAGCTCGTCTCGTGAGGAGATGAGGAGCTCTGGACAATAAAAAGAGGCAAGTAGAGCGCAGTTAGGAGTTTAAGTGATCACACACACACGCACGCACGCACACACACACACACCCACACTGTTTAGGGGGAATTTGCATGCCTCTGGATTAGGCAGAGTTGTCCATGGCTCATATGAATAAGAACCAGAGCTATTCTAACACCGCCGTGGCTGTTAAATGGTGTTTCCCCTCTGATTTTAGTGACGTGTCGGTGTAAACACTGACCGTGGCTGGTGGAGCCGTCGACCGTTTTCTGGTTCTGGTCCTCCGAGTCTTCTTTGATTTTGGGACTGTTGGTTGTTTTTGAAAACTGCTTCCGCACCAAATACGGCACCAGCTCACCGCGGATCGAAGAGATGGACCTACAGTACGAGAAGAGGAAAGATTAAATAAGATTTCAACATCATGTTGAGCATCCTAAAAAGTCATCAGCACCACACACAAGCCACAACATAAGTCCATGATCTCAGTTTAATGTGCTATCGTTAGATAATGGCTTCCTCGTCGTCAATTTGTTAGGAAAGCTTCACTTCTAGTAACTGAGTGAAATACTACATAAAGAAGTGTATCTTTCTGGTGCTATGCATCTAAGACAGCAGAGAAGGGGAACGCATTTGCAATGATGACCTTGCAAATTGCCATTTGTGCCCAACATCTGATTGTGTCAGATGAATTAACATCTGACATCTAGATTATCTTTAAAGAGAGACAGACTAATCCTAAAGAACTTATAGTAATTGCAAACAGGAAGTCAAATGATGCCTTTATCATTCCTGTAATTGAGTAGATTGTTAGTAAATTCAATAGACGCTAATTAAATAACAGTTATTGTTACTTAACATACATCTAATAAAAAGCAGGTCATGACAATAAGCACCTCAGTGTAGGATGATGACTTCAAGTCTCCCTCTGTGTAACCAGGAGGTAACTTCCCCATCTTAATTTCCTCCATGCACTGTGCTACGCTCAGTGTTCCTCTCTACCACCCCCCCCCCCTTTCACTTGCCCGCTCTTACTTTCTTTTAAAAAGGGAGATTAGAATTTCCATCTGAATGACAGGAGAAAAACAACAGTTACTCTGTCCATTTCTCTCCTTGAGCAAGAGACAGCATGGAGGAGAAAGGAAGAGAGAGAGAGAGAGAGAGAGCAAGAGAGAGAGAGAGAGAGGAGCTGTTTAAAAGAAAGTCCAAGAAAAGAGCTGAAGAAAGAAATGAATCATCTAACAAGAGAGATGATATACGGCGGCAGCAGAGGGTCCATTAGTGATGTAATGACGTAAGATTTATATCTATGGCAAATTCAAGAGTACCGCTCGCCTTAACCAAACATATTCAGCAGGGGTGAAGAGATGGGAGTTGAGTGATTTGTGTTCGTTGGCTTTGGATGTATTTATGCATTATCTAAAACGGGACACTCCATTTCAAATTGTTCACATTTAAAACTGTTCAGCACACACATGTTGGCAAAGTGTCATCACCGCCCTGTATGGAGAAGCTTGGCGCCACCCTGTATCTTAGCGCGCAACCTTGTCTGGGATGCATCTGGATCAAGTGCCGTCGTTATCAAACACGCTTGATATATTTGTCTTTAAATGCGCTACAGTAGATCTCCTCCTCAAGTGTGCACAGTTTGCCAAAAATTATTAATGTACGGGAGGAGATGAGGTAAGACATCCTCTGACAAAACCTCGTCTGGAGGGCAGACCAGGGAAGACCTGGTCAGATTTGTTAACAATCCATCCTCTAACGGGTTGTGGCACAATATCTTTGCGATACAAAGCTGTTTGAGGACATTCTTGTCAACATATCTTATATTTTTTTAACTGAATCATGAGATAACTGTATTGTTGCACCCCTACTTAATACCATTAGGTCATTACTAACACCTAATTATATGTGCAAAACATTTGAATACGAGCTCATATCGGTCTTTCGATTTCTCTTACCAATCTGACCATGTTCGCACAGCCAGTGGAGCCACAGAGGCTCCCTGTGACACTGCCTTGCCTCAGAGGCTAAAGGCCTAACAGCCTGCCTCAGTGGCACATAGTAAAACAAATTAACACCTCGCTAGAATACCGCGCTAACGGGTCCTTTCAAAGCCTTACACACCATGTAACCACGTTTAACACGTACTACTGCGAATGTCTGTTTGACTATGTGGTTTCCTACCAAGTGTATGCGCGCATGTAGAACCAATACTGCTCGCGCCGCAGATATACACCGGTCATTTTCTAATTAGTTTGAAACTATGGTGGGACAGCAATTTATCTAATTCATTCCTATATTCACTGTCGGAAATAAGAGAAGAACTCACTTGTTGTCGGCGAGAAAGTCCACCACTGCTTTTTTCAGACAGTAGAGGTGGGCGTCCACGAGGCCCGTTTTGATGTGCATCCTGGGATGTCTGCAGGTAGAAGACAAGAGTCAAGAGAAGACAATCACATCAAATCTGACCTTTTATTAATTCATCAGCACTAAAAACACATTGGGCCTTAATCACAATTACGTGCGTAGAAATAATTTGCGCACAAAATAAGTCGTAAGAGAGAAGCATGGCCCCTAAAGCAAAAAAGCAACAGCATTTCACAACTGAACGTGGCCTTCATTTGCCCAATTTCATGGCACTAGTTGGTGCCATTCTGGTGGAGGTGCCGATCATTTTCGGCCGAGTCATAAACTCCATTGTAAGCAAAGTCTGGGACACTCGGTTTATATTTATATTTTAATGACGACAATAATCGAGGATGAAAGGGCGACAATTTCATAGCTATTTAATACACTTGGTCAATGCAATAGTATATTAACTATTCATCATTTTTGCTGTTTGTGAATATGGCCCATTTTTTGGGCTGAAAAAATACAGTAGAGCTTTCATCAGACTATGCGTTTGTGGAGCCCTGCCACACTGCATGCGTGCACCACTTTCATGAACAAGCGCTATAACCATGGCTGCTACTTTCGAGGACAACTCGCTTTGATTCTTTCCATCACCTGCTGTGTTTATATTTATGTTTGCTTCTCGTTTACTGAAAGCCCTTTAAATTTACCTCCGCTTTGCACATAGGACGGGAACTTTTGATGAAAGCCAGACACGGCCGTGGGCTCACATAAAAGTCAGAGAATAGTGACATCTGTCTATTGTCCTCCGTCAGCTACCGTAGATGTCGCCCCACAGAGCTGCCGCCAGTGAGACAGGTTTATGGGGGTGGGGGGGGGTCACATGCACACAGACACAGCGTCACCCCCAATCATGCATTCACTCATTCACACATTTATTTATTTGCACACGGACACACAGTTTGACCATGTGACATTTACGAAGCGAGAGCCAAAGAAAACCATGTCATCCTCCGGGTTTCAATAAAGCCCTTCGTCCTCTCCGACGACCTCTCCTCCTCTTTCTCTTCAATCACTACATAGTAAAAGCTGCGGGGCGCATTGTTCCTAAAAGGAGCATACCGGTGCTTTTACATGTTTTAGTCCATTTGCGAAACACATATAGGCCTTCCATTACTGCTCACCAGCTTTCAAAGCATGCTGCACTGATTTAGATTATTAAAGTTGTAAAAGCAGATTGATTTGAAAAGTCTGTGCCTCGTTACCACACAACAATACCGTAACTTTGACTAAATTAAAAGCAGACGACGGTTCACTGTTTATATGTGAAGATCCTGAGCGGGCCGATCTACGTTTTCAAACTGAAATCAGTTGAAACTAAATCTGAGATTCTATGTTATTTTACAGGCAAAACATAAATAAATGTATATTCTTTTATTTAGTGTTTTGACGATGATGGTGGGGAGCATTGTCTAAAGTGTTCTCTCAAATCTGGGTTACTGGTGACTGAAAAGTCCATGGCATGTGATTCAGATCATTTGGCTCAACATACCGATACCCTCCTGGGGATCAAATAAAGTATATATTTTACGTTTCTTTTTTAATTTGACCTTTATTTAACCAAATAAGTCAATTGAGAACCAGTTCTCATTAACAATGACGACCTGTCCAAAAAGGCAAGTCGTTACAAACGAATCTCGCACAAAGATTACGACATCATAATATGTACAATAAATAAATAACAAACAAATGGTTGCAGCGATCACAGTCTATCGTTTGTAATGAGTTGTTGGAGGACGGTGACGGAATGAGGGTGTGGAGTTTTAGCTTCTTTTGTGGTCGAAGGCGGTGCGGACGTTCGGAATGACCGTGTTGATTAAATTGCTGGAGCGTAAATTGCGGTTCCTGTTGGAGATGGTGAGTAGAGAGCGGAGGTATGTGGGGGGTTTCACCAATGATAGTTTTATAGATGAACTGATACCAGGGGATTAATCTGCGGCTGTGGAGTGACGGCCAGTTGACTAGAGACTGAATTCTGATTCTAATCAGAAGCATTTTCATTTATTAAGCTTCTCTACTTGTATTTATGGTTTTTCTTTAATTTGTCAACCATCTGTATATACATATCTGTTCTACTAATGAACCTGTTATTGTTACTATCGGTATCTTTTGATTTAGCCGGCGCCACCAGCACCAGTCTACCAAACCGTCACAAGCAGTGCCAGTAACGGGACCATAAACTGAAAACACCTGTGTGGGTGTTCAGAGACTTTAAAACTCCTCTTTACTCTTTTACATGCACAGAGAAATTTCTAATTATGAATAAATGTCAAATAAAGTCTATCTGCCATGACCCAGGATAGGATACGGAAAATGGTGAATGATGCAACCCCTCTACCTCTCACTTCCTTCCTCTCTCTTTCATCAAAAACTCTTCTCTACAATGTTGACCTTTCTCCTTTTAACTCTCCCTGTCTTAACCAGGCCTGCACTATAACTAGAGTGACTCAGGAGGATTGCCTCGTCACACATATTTCACAACCAAATGCTGAAAGCGTGTGTGTGTGGTTCCGTCTGTGTTTGGCTATTTTATTAAAAAGCATAAAAACACATGTGCGAGCACAGACACGCTCTGTGGGTGTTTGTCAAATGTATTTATTCATACAACATTTCACAGGTGTGCGCCTGCGCGTGTGTGTGTGTGTGTGTGTGTGCATCTGTATCGTGGGCTTAAAGTGGAATTTATGGGAACACCCAGCATGTGACATCACCGTTTGGCATCTGGGGGCACGAGTCAAGAGCAGAAACAGGTGCTCTTAAAAGTGAAGGGCAGCATGGTGAAGAACAGGTATAAGGGATGTGCAGCACTTCAGACTTCACAAAAACATGGTGAACAGCAGAGTGAAGTCTCGCAATCAAGTGTTGGTTCTGCCCGCTGGACCTCGTCTGACCACTGCCATTAATTATATGAATCCAGCCACCGAATGAATTCTTTTCGACATTAGCAGAACACTCTTAATTTCATGCAAAGCGTTTTTTTTTGTTTTTTGATGAAGAAAAAGAAAGCAAACCAAAAATAGTTTGATTTGACACTGAGCCACAGCCTGTTTTTAAGATGTCAAAGGACTCGATTTTAGCAGAGTGGAAACTGCTGGGTCACATGCATGAGGACGATGAGGGAGTATCACAGTACAGGTGCTACACCCTAATGAAGGAAATGGTTTCAGCCATTTGGAAAGTAACTCAGAGGATGATTAGACATGATCTCAGTCACTCAAATTACACATTCAATACCTAAATATAACAGATGTGCCAAAAAAACATTTTCTCGAGAATACTATGATGTGTGCCTCATACACACGGCATAGAAAAACACCGAGCACTGGCCACATACCACTTTATTCATTTACACATTTGGCAGAATGCAACAAACATCTTGTGTTTCCCAAACGAAGGTAAACATGTTGCTCTTCCAGCAACGTCACGTGACTTCTGGTTGCTGCGAGTGCTGTAGACCTCGGTGTCAAGTGGAGCAGGAATTTAGTGTCTCTGCAGGCGAGGATGACTCAACACTTGGATTAATGACGGACTGTAAAGTACCACGAAAGTCCTCAGTGGGAAAGAGGAGTCACATCTCTCTCTCTCGCGCGCAAACACACGCAGCATCGTGTCTTATTTAGTTAAACTAAAACCCCACAGCGGACGATGACTCAGGCACAGCAGAACGACCGTTAATTCTCTCATTATTCAGGTTTCCACTCCAGAGCCAGCAGGGCTAAAAGAGCTTACGACTCATTCAGAGCATGGCGTCCAAAACAAAATGCGTGTGATTCCCATAATACCATGCAAGGCTTAAAAGATGCTTCCTTAATTGAGCTGGCTCGCATATTTCAGCGCAGATGGACCTGCAGGTGTGGTGCAGTTACTCTTGATGACTGACCAGCACATCTTATATATACAGAATCCTATTTGTGGCATAAAATGTCACCAAGTCAGATCTTGAAATTGAGATTTTGTCGAACAAACAATCAGAAACAACGCATCGCATTTGAGAAGCTGTTACCAGCGTGCGTTGGGCTTTTTTGTTTAATAAATGGCAAATACTCGATCGCTTCAGGCCTAATGTTTATGTTTTGAGATTTCATAAATGTTGAAGAAAGGCTAAAGAAGAAAGAAAATGAAAACCAGACTAACGCATATGCCAGCATTTGGATTTTAGGTTTTGAAGCCTGTCAAATGATTCAGAGATTCTGACATTAAAAAAAAAACGAAAAAAAACTATAACGAGCCAGCAAGTAAACAAATATCCATAAAACAAATAAAGCCGATGCACAACAGAACATAAGAGTGTATGAATACAAGATAATATTGATTAACTTTCCCTTTATGGCTTCCAGTAGCAGCATATGTTGATGGTACATTTAGTACCAGGTACAGTAACATAAAGGTTACACATTAAAACAGTTTGTTCCTCATGTAATCGTGCCCTGTTGTTGAACTGCAATGGAAGTTATTACAGTTCTGGAAGGTGCAGCGTGTGGTGCTTGTGCTGATTGGGCCGGTTTCAGCCCGTCTGTCTCATGCCATCATTGCAAACAGATGCACAAAAACTCCAGGTCCAATATCTTAAAAAGGTCAATGCACTTAAGATCTGCTTAAATGTGATGCAACCTTTTATAGCTTCCCTGCTTTGTTTATTATTATTTTACAAGCAACCACGTTACCATCATAGTAAAGACACATGATGTAGAAGTATGGACGTGTTTGATACTGACTGTAATTTAATGACACTACCTCAATGGTTCTGCTTGAGTCTTTCTCACGATTCAAACAATTTTTATTTGGAATCGGCCAATTAACACGCAGCCAACAGTTCCTCCAGGCCTGCGTCCAAGAGACCCTGACAGGTGGAGCTGTAACGTAGGAGGGGAAGCTCTGCTGGAGTCCTTTCACACCGTTTTAAGCGATTTCCAGGTCAAACTATCTCACATGTGCAGAATGTTTTGAGCGAACACTCCTCCACCATGTGGAAAACATAAAGAAAGAGGAGAAAAAAAAGAGCACAGGATTGAGGACGAACAAGGATGAAAGAATGGATAAACAAACAGATGTATGGTATGACGCACAGAATAAGGGAGAGTTGCTTAAAAGAACGAAGTAAAGAGGGGAAAAAGAATTATGACTTTAGTCGAGAAAAAAACTAAACAAGATCACATCTATTTCCACGTTTGAACATTGGATTGGTGGGCACTGTGAGGAGTGCATTCAATGTATTCAAATCTTCATTTTGAACAAGGATGAAAGAGTGAATCGTGTGGACGGAGGCACAGCACTGATGGCTGAAGAGAATGAATTGGAACTGGAAGCAAATAAACTGGAGATTTAATGCTCTGTACAAAAGACCCAGCTGGGATCAAACTGGTGAGCACAAATGTTCCATGAATGAGACTGTGTGCACGTGTAAAATACAAATTATAAAAGGAAGGCACCTGTAGTGTGTGTATGACGTGCCATGACGAAATGACCTCTGACTGGATGGTACTGATGTGCAAAACAGTCAGATCTTGTAAAACTACCCAGTGGTGTTATAAAAAAAAACAAAAAAAAAACACAACTCTGGAATTTATTCTGCCATGTGTTACCGTCTGCATAAATACTGTACGTGGAGAGATTTGTCTTGTATGGTTGTGTGACGCGTGTGTGTGTATAAATGATCAGAGGTGATTTAAAAGTTCTAAGTCCTTCAACGTAAGCCATAAATGTTTAGCTGTGGGCTCGTGTTTCCATAACACAGATGACAACGTGGGAGTGTTTTCTCTCCATCAATGTCCACCCCGAGGTTTCTGTGTGTGTTCATACAAGCATTTCTTTCTGTGTGTGTGTGTGTGTGTGTGTGTGTGTGTGGCTGAAGATTTCTCTGTGCAGGGAAGCTTGCAAGCAGCTGCTCTGACCCCCCTCTTATTGGCCAGAATTTACAGTGGCTTTGGCTCCATGAAGTATTTACGAGCTCCCAAAACACCCGCTCTCACACATACATGCATGTTAGGACTCAGAAAGGAAAACCTACCTAGAGTACTCTTCCTGTAACAGAAATCCCACACACCCGCCACAGAGCCTTTCAGCCTAAAACACACTGACTCTGATTAGAAAGCGAGACATCTGCTCTCTAAACCTAAACACAGAACATATTTATCCCAAACACTGAGCGTTTAACGGTCGGCTCACCTAATTACCAAAAGTATTTTCTCACCAGCGATATTTAGCCATGAATATAACACAACGTTGCAATAGAGGAGTCCACAGGCTTTGTTGTGAACGGTTTTCACTTGTTTCTACTGGAGAAACTGTCCCTTTAAAACGGTTCACAACAAGGGCTGTTGATTATTATATATTGAGTATTTTCTACATGTGATTTACTATAGTGGGGTGGGGGGGAGATATCTCAAAATTAAACCAAACCTATCTGCATGGATAGATAGAGATAAAAGCACTCGAGGTAAGAGATAAAATATGTTTTTGTAATCCAGATAAACCCATTTTTAAAATGACTTACTTCCTCATCATAGACTTCCTAATTGACAGCCCGTCCTCCAGATCTGCCTCATTGGCCATGAACAGCAGCCTCTTCCCTGACTGATCCACTCCCACAAAGTCTCTTTGTTCACCTGGGGGGGAAAAAATACACAATATGTAATGTTAACACAAAACAATGGAGGCTAAGAGTAAGTGACACATTTAGCAATTTAAGTTTGGTTGAATTTATGAGGAAGCCCGTTTCCTCTCTTAAATATTTGGGGCATAGGCCATTGCATATGAATGACGAGCATTAAGACCTTCACTGAAATGAATTCTTTAAGTGTAAATATATAATGACCAATCACACATCCTATCAGAATCATGGCATGCAGGTAATGTCTGCAGTAACTGTGTCTTCCCCTGTGATTACTTTTTCTTCTTACCTGTCTTTTTCTTGCCCTTCTGGCCTGGGACCGTCTCTGTGAACTCATGGGCGTTGCTCATCAGCATGGCCAGTGTTGCATTGTGGGCTCTGAACAGGTCGACCACCTCGTGAAGCGCCACATCTGTTATCAGGTCACAGCTCACCACCAGGACGTCCGTCTGAAGAGGGAGGTCGGGTGGAAGGAGAGAGTAAAGTGAGACGGTGTATAAATAAGATGTGACAAAAGGACCATAACATACTGGGTCTCTCAGGCTTTCAAATGGAAGTTTCTGGCTTGTCCTCTATTTTTGGAACCGAATCTTCCCGCCTGTTGTGAATTTGCAGACATTTCCATTGTCTCCCCTGCAAACACGTAAAAAACACAGGAATGCATAAGATATAGCTTGAAGGGCGAGTCGTGTTTACAAAGTGAGGTTTCCTCACTCACGAAAGTCGTCTCAGCGCACACGCAGACTACACATAAATATATGTGGCGACATCGCTCCACATAAACACCTCAGGACATGAGAGCTTGAACTGGGTTATTTCAATACTCACAACAGAAATTGGCTCACCGAGATGGAGTTTGAGACAGACACAGACGGAGGAGAATGAAGAAATAACTGTTCTTGGTCAACAGTGGGCTCCTCCTTGTTAGCACTGCTTGTACACCAGCCAAACCGTTATCATTGTTTTAAGAAAGCGTCTGGTTCTCATCATCTGATTCAACTCCTTTGTTTGAAAGTGAGCTGTATTGTTGAAATGCTGCCTCACCATCCTTTAGCTGCATGTGTACAGTGACATCACAGCAATGAATGCAAACAAATAACTTCAAATTAAAACTTGCGACATTAGAAGATGAATGAAGTTCCCAACAACAGAAAACCGGCTTATAGGACCAAACAATAGTTGAGCTGCTACAAATAACAAAAGGCCACAGTGACAACATAAAAAACAGCTTTAGCTGGAAATGTTGCACTATTGGAACTACTTTGATATTGAACCGGGCGGTATGACCTGATCAGCAACAGTTTGCTAAATGCAATTTAAACTTTGCTCAACCCTTTTGCACGATAGTTATAATTCTCCATTCATTGTTTCAAAACAGTGCTGGACAGAGGTTTACTTTTCAGCCTGTGAGCGAACACACCTCTGAAAAAAATAAGTGGGTGAAATAAATCAAGGCCACCTCTAAATTTGCAAATAATTTTTATAATTGTTTTCTATTATCCTGGCAGAGAATGACAGAATATCACATAAATAACTTCCTATCTCACTCTTTCACCAAGGACAACAAAGCTAGGTCGCCCGACTTTAAGCACCTTCCTATGAACTGATCCAAAAGTAGCACCGCTCTGACATCATGATGCAAACAGAATAAGGATCTTGGTGCTTGATTTCCAAAACCCAAATGACAAAAGACACTCGTATTTAAGTAACCCTCCATCATTTGCCAAAGAAGGCCAGAGAAAGAATATTCTTTAAGAATTTCACACTTCAGAGATTATTTCCATCATAAACTAAAACTCAAACTATGCTCAGCGTTCCAGCCGTATAATAATGTGTAAACCAATCTAGGTCTTAAACTGTATATCAATACACAGCTTGTGAATTCCATAGAGATATCACTTACTCTACCACCAACGACAGGGAGCACAAAACAGACATCAATCCTATGAACTGGCCTCCACGGACGTTACATGTCTGCCTGTGTGTGTGTGTGTGTGTTTACATGTGGGTGCGCCCACATTTGTGTGTCTGTGTGCGGTGTCCATCTGTCTGTCCTGTGATGAAGGCTGTCAGCATAAGGCTTAATCCCACCATTAGCACCAGCCGCCATAACGACAGAGACATCTTTACTATGTCTGTGACGGAGGGAAGAAGGAAAAGAAAGAGTGAGAGATGGGGGGGGGGGGGGGGGGTAAGGAAGAGTAAAAAAAATCAACCTGTCAAAAATGAAGAAAGAAAAAGAGAGGAACATTGGAAGTATAATAAGGAAAAGATGGAAGGGGGAAAGAGTGAAGAGAAAATGGATGATGGGAGGCGCTGGCGAAACTTAATGTACTGCATTCACTGAAGCACATCAGTTTATAAGTATATAGTTCAAGTAAAAAGATGCATCTTAAAATATTTAAGAAAACGCAACCAAACTACATTCTGAAATTGGAGAGGAAGCCCTTTAACACTTCACCATTTCACTTGAAATACGTGAAAATGATGAAGCGGTATGGAAACTACAAAGGATTAAAGAATTCACTTGATTTTGTAAGTAACGAACACTAAGGGTGAATGTTGAAGAGCTGAGCTCTCCGTGTGCGAGTGTGTGTGCAGAGGGCCGGTATCAGTGGGGTCAGGGGTTGTGGAGTTGACCTAGAGGTAACTCCCAGCGTAACCTGGTCGGGACCTGGCGACAGGAAGCTGCCACGGCAAAGCTGGAGGTGTCTGCAGGAGATCTACCGACACTGAAACTCAGAGACCTTTCAACTCTCCTCTCCAACACACACACACACACACGTTCTGAACCAGAGCACACGAGTATGCGCGCGCACACACACACAAAAACATGCACAATCCCCATACACAGGCACACACACACACACACACTCAGGCGACAGCAGAGTGGAGTCAGCTGGGGAGACAGAGACACTTTGGCCTTTCAACAGCCAGGATCTCTGGACAGGTCAGGACCACACACACTGATGCACAAACACACACACTTGTCCCAGTGGGCCAAAACTTCTGATTACACAATCTCGACCCACTTTAACAATACTTGGAAACTCTGTATGCATGGTGATTGTGTCCATTTTGTTTTGGAGCTTGCCTGATGAAGGCCTTTTTAATCAAATAATATCTACACCAAGGATTTTTAAGTGAGAAAGCTAGCTGCAAGAAAGCTAGTAGCGGGATAGCTAGCTGCGAGAAAGCTAGCAGCGGGATAGCTAGCAGCGAGAAAGCTAGCTGCGAGAAAGCTAGCTGCGAGAAAGCTAGCAGCGAGAAAGCTAGCAGCGAGAAAGCTAGCAGCGAGAAAGCTAGCAGCGAGAAAGCTAGCTGCGAGAAAGCTAGCAGCGAGATAGCTAGCAGCAGGAAAGCTAGCAGCTTATAATAAAGCGAATTTAAAATCTATAAGGAAATATTTTTAGTCTTAACAAAAAAATTAAATAACAAGTACTTATCCCGATACAAATCAACAACCAAGTCTGCAGGTTTATGCAGATTTCAGTTTTCTTCTCTTGTTTTCAGTTGGCTGATGTGGGCGAGTTAAGTCGACTGTAACCTCTCCCCATGTATATGACGGCAAACTGCTCCTTATTTATGAACTAAAATTACATTTACAGAAGAGGAATAATAAAATGAACTGGCCATACATTTTAAGAGTCTCAGATGGTATTGCGTATGAGAGTGAACGTGTCTTTCCTGGATTTACTCGTGGATGTGTCATGAGAACAGAACACTGTTCCAAGATGGCTCCCATACAATTCATACGATCTTCTCATTCATCATGTCCTTAGCAAATATTAAAGCAGTGCATTTCCACAACCACCTGATCCTTTGTGCCCAAACCTCAGCTTAACATAGAAAACGTAAACTATTGTGTGTCACAGGAAGGATGAAAAGGGTAGTTTGGAGGTTGGAGAGCAAGGTGGTTCAAAACAAGTCTCATCTAAGCACGTTTGCCGTGTCCACCTCAGATGAAAAGCCTCGGGTCCATCTCTCACTTGGCTCTCCCTCTTCACCTTTTGTCTCGCATCTCACACGCTGACTAACATGTGTAGACCGAAGGTGAACCTTTGAATCTGGACCGCCGACGTATATGTAGTTCCATTCGCCTGCACACACTCAGGTGATTAAGCCTGACGTCAAAGAGGCTTTAAGCACACAAAGCAAAAAGTGCACGTAAAGCACTCCTTTCACTGGTTGGGCTTATTGTGAAAGACCTAAGTAATAATCAGGCACATCCCTCAACTTTTGTTGTAACCTTGCAGTTTGAAGAGGGAACAAAATAAAATATGCTGCCTGTAATCTCTCTTTTCAATAATCAAGAGGAATGACCTGCTCCGCTCACCCACGGTGCACACAGATTCCTGTAAGTATGTAAGTTTGATAGGCTACACCAAATCCCCTCATGGGAGGGTGTTTGTGTAAAGAGATGAGTGAGTGAGTGAGTGAGTGAGTGAGTGAGTGTGTCTATACTGTACTCATGCGTCACTTTGACAGTTTGAGTGATCTCTGTGCTGGGATTTGGCAAGCCATGGTTACAGTTCCTCACTCATCACCCTCCAGTGTGCGAGTGTGTGTAACTCAATGCCTCTAATCGAGCTGACTGCTCAAAGGATTAGGGACTCGACTATTCTCAATGGGAGCATGCTGGAGCTAGTAAGTGTGTGTGTGTGCGTGTGTGGTTATACTATGCATGGATGGATCAAAAAACTCTTGAGCAAAGAGAATAATAAGTATTTGTACAGACCCATTCAAATGCCAGAGGAAAAAAAACAAAACATTAAACTCACTTGTCACAACAAATTCGGCATTTTAAGTGTTTGATTTATTCGTTTCCAGAAGCAAAGCCGACTGATCTCGCTCTGAACAATTTAATGAGCGGCCTTATGCCTTCAAGTGTACGCTTCATGTGCCACGCTCTAAACAGAGAAGGTATCAGGAAGCGATTTTTCAACCGAGGCTGTTGGAAGTGGGAATTCTTGTAAATTTGATTGTTTCATTTATTTATTTATTTTTTGGGGATATTACAGCAGAGAACTGCCGGTAAAATGTTTCAAATGACTGCAGTTAACTTGTGTTTTTCAATTACATTTATTTTCTTTTTATTTGTAAACGGTTCAGAATCGTAGAGGATGAAGGATGATTGTGATTCTTAGGTAGATCATTATTTCCCTCTAGACATTGCTGAGAAACCAAACAGGAAGCAGTAATTACAACGTAAAGTACAGCCGTCTATATACTCAACATTGCCGAGCCAACCCCAAGCAATCATTGATAGTCATACATTAAACAAGGGCAAATGCTTCAAAAAGTACGTCAACACAAAACCTCATACAAACATGTCTTCATGGTCTCTGGGGGTCTGTCAGAACCGTGGCATATAAAGTGGGACGACATTTACCCGAACTAACCTAAACACAAATGTAGTCATGCAGATGTGCATGACTACAGGAAGAGAATAAATGGTGCACTGGGTAAACTGGCAGCACAGCGAGTTTGAGTCTTAACCATGACCTCATCTGCTTAGAGAGAATTGGATGAAGGGAGGGATGTGTGTGTGTGTGTGCGTGTGTGTGTGTGTGTGTGTGTGTGTGTGTGTGTG